GTGTTTGTTGACATCTCTCAAAAAACGATAGCGAACGCGTTCGCTCGCTCACCGCTCCCCGCTCGCCACCGTCTCTCATCGATCGATGCGTGACTCCACCTCTCGCTATCGATTTTTCAGAGATGTCAACAAACACACCATTTTGCATGCTGCCGAGTCCGGCCTTATTGGCTCAGACGTTTTTCTGAATTAGGCCGATAATAATTACGATTTTGTAAAATTTTATATAACTTTTCTTCTCAGTTTAACCCAATCTACTATAATCTTTGGGGTCGTCCATATCGAATTTGACACCCTGTATATACATGTATATATTCATTTCATAATTATACATTTTTAAGTATCTATTTGAGTGTCAAAAAAATAATAATTTGTTCAAGATTGTTTTAACGTTGCAGCAATATAAACAATTAATGTACAAACATTATCCTAGATTCAACGTAGAAAAGAGATTTGTACTTTAACATTCAACATTGCAACGTTTCAGCAACATTATTTTAACTTTCTGCGCTGTATGGGCAGCACAGATGGTTGCAGTTACATTGCAGAAACGTTGCAATCTTGCAGAGACATTGCAGGGATATAAAATTGCAAACTTTCGATAGCTAATATTGCAGCAATGTTTCAAAAATAATGAAAATACTATATTTTCTATTTAAAAAAATGTTTCTAATTATGAGAATTTTATAATGCTATTTCCGTTGATACCAATAATGCGCGAATTATTAAGTACTTGATCAGTGCGGTGTTGCTCGCAATCTCCATCTATTGCGAAGCGACATAATCTCCTTAGGTTGCTTCGCAATAGCTTGCTGTGCATTGAAAAAGGCCCGGATGTATATGTAATTAGTAAATTCTCTGCTTATGTACAACGACAAATTATTCCAAAAATATTGCGCTGCAACATTGCTATAATGTTGCACTGCAATCTCTCTGAGGGCGGACATTTCAACGTTGCTGCAATCCTCCAGAAACGTTGCAGCAATGTCGCGCAACGTTGCTACAATATTGTAATCTTGCAATGTAACACTTCTGCAATCTTCCTGCAATCTTTCTGTGCTGTGCGGGTTCACTTTGCTCGCAACGCGGATCGCTGGATCCTATTCACCGATCGTGAGAACATGTAATATGCTTTTTTTTTCCAGGACGAAGCGGGCCATGCAAGGCGACATGACGTTTCAGCAGTCCTTGTCCGTAAGACTGGGGATCATAAATCCAAGTCTGACGCAAGTGAGGCAGTTCCTGAACACGCATCAACCAAAACTGACCACGGGCGTCAAGTAAGGTGTTCACGTTTCAGAATGCAAGAACGAGCGAAGATACATTTGTCTGCGTCACATCTTTGAAAAGTATCGAAATGCATTTCAGGGAGTTGGTATCCGCATTGCAAGCTCGTGGGAAGCAGGTGTTTCTTGTCTCCGGCGGGTTCCGCTGTCTCATCACACCGATCGCCGAGCAGCTCAACATCCCACCTGAGAATATTTATGCAAACAGATTAAAATTTTACTTCACAGGTAAATATGTAAATAGGCGCGCTAAATAGGCGTGCTTTCCGCACAGGAACTTGTATATTTATTTCCTGGCGTATAACAATGTACATTCGTGCTTGCGCAAATGTATGTCGTAGGGGAATATGCGGGATTTGACGAGACTCAGCCAACCTCCAGAAGCGGTGGCAAGGGAGAAGTAATACTGCGTCTTAAAGAAAACGGCTTTAAAATCGTAGTACATGTCGGCGACGGTTCGACAGACTTGGAAGCGTCGCCACCAGCGGACGCGTTTATAGGTGCGTATCTTCACTTGAAAAATTGTCTCTGAATGTTATAGTACTCGTACTGAAATGATGATGAAAGCTGCACTGCAAATCAAACTATTTATCGTCACTACAGATCTATTTTTGTTGCAGGATTCGGTGGAAATGTAGTTAGGGAAAATGTGAAATCGCGCGCGCAATGGTTTGTCACGAACTTCGACGATCTAATAAAATGTTTATAGATACACGAATGTTTCCACGAACAGGAGGTTTTGATGTACTCGAGTCAAAACGTTTTGTATAATATTTTAGTCAAAGAGTAAAATGAAATCTGCTTCGACAAAAAGGATGGTTATGACTGACGGATTAAAGATTAAATTGAACATTAATCAATGCCGGCAAGGCTTCGAAAATTGTTCAACGTTTATAAATAACACACTTTATTCTACACAGTACATGAAATATACAATTACCTTTTTGATGCAGCAAATTCTAAAATCATGTGCTATCTATGTATACAACATTTTATTAATCAATCATTACGATATATAACTGTCGTAATCCTATAACCCTGTACATAATTACATTGCAAAGTATGTATACAAAATTGCTTTTTTATTTGCCACTTTAGGCAAATCAAACGTCAGCGAGTAGTAAAATTCCGATGAAACGATGCGATGAAATACGTATTTCCCGTTTCACAGATTGCCACAAATCTGAACTTACTGTAGCATAGTTGTCGCATTTGTAATAACATACAATTCCATAGTGTTCCATCGTGATATAATTGACAACAAATTATGCACCAGTCCTTAACGCCTTCTCCAGTTTTTTCTGCGAGATCCACTCTTTTATCTTTTGCTCAAGTTCAACATTCGATTTTACCATGTCCATGGTAAGTGGAGACCGATTGAAAGGGTCAGTTTGATCGCTCAGCAAATGTCTGAAATGTATTTGCAAAATTTTACATTGCGATATACGTGCAAGTTAATAATGTTCCTTTCTAATTTGTATAAGGGTGAGTACAAAGTACCGGACCGGTGAAATATCTCGACAAATATGGGAGATACGGAAAAATGTTTCAGACAAAAGTTGTACGGTTTTAAAAGGGCTATATAATGGTAAAATGAATTTTCGAAAAAAATAAATTTTTTATGGTTATATGGAGATCGCCGTCATTTTTTAAAAGGAAACACCCTATTTTTTATTATAGTATTTTATTCTACTAATTAATATGAACAACTTTTGTCTGAAACATTTTTTGATTTGCCTAATACTTTTTGAGATATTCAAGAGAAAATTTATAACTTTTTCAACGTTTAACTTATAATATCTCGATAACTGTTTGTCGGAGGGAAAAGTAGTACAGGACTTTTTTACTTGATTTAGTCTCAGGAATATGCTGTTGCAATGGTTTATGTATTGTAACACATAAAATTTACATACACAAAAATTTTCACTAATTGAAACACCATTGCAACAGCATATTCCTGAGACTAAATCAAGTAAAAAAAGTCCTGTACTACTTTTCTCTCCGACAAACAGTTATCGAGATATTATAAACTAAACATTGAAAAAGTTATAAAATTTCGCTCGAATATCTCAAAAAGTATTAGGCAAATCAAAAAATATTTCAGACAAAAGTTGTTCATATTAATTAGTAAAATAAGGTAATGTAATAAACAATAGGGAGTTCCATTTAAAAAACTGACGGCGACCTCCGTATAACCATAAAAAATAAATTTTTTTCGAAAATTTATTTTACCATTATAATAGCTCTTTTAAAACCGTACAACTTTTGTCTGAAGGATTTTTCCGTATCTTTCATATTTTTCGAGATATTTCACCGATCCGGTACTTTTTACTCATCCTGCATACATAATTCAAGTGCTAATGTACCTTGCTATAGTTTGACGATCGATCGTTATTTTCGACGATGGCAAGATAACAGGATCCGTCATGACAGTCGACATAATTGGATCTAGAAATTCGTCAGGAACGCCTATCAAGATCTCGTCTTCCTCGCGCTTTTGATTTGCGGCCTCCTCCACGCTTTTCGCAAATTGATCCAAATCGCCCAAGATTCCCACGCCACCAATACGAACTGCGATATACACACACACGCACACACACACACACATACACGAATTACTTGGATACTTTTGGCGTAAACAAGCTGCCTTTTAGCATAAAAAATACAGAAAGTCTCTCACCGAGCACATTGTCCGCAAGTTTAAACAGTTCTTGACTGTAAGAACGTCCGTCTTGAGACACAGCTAGTGTAAAGCTTTCGCTTTTACTTAGATTAATGTAAATCTCGCATATATTCAACACCAAATTTGCAGGATTGAACGCATACTCCTTTTGATCGTTCACCTAAAGATCATTTCAGAGATACACGAGATTGCAATAACATTATTTTTATTGTAACATTTACAGATTCTAAGAATTACCTTGAGATTTTTTTTATTCGGTCCTACCAGTTGCAGTAACAAGTAATTGAGCATGGAAGCGATACGGTCCACCATGGTTGGGTGGCAGAAGATTGACTTGATTTCGGTGGTCAACATTTTTATCGCCTGTATAGTTTTTCTACCTAGAATATTGTCAAAGCGAGCAATCATACCGATATGCTGAAGATATGCCGCCTGTTGCTCGCGTTCGTTTGGTGGCAATTTATTCCATTCTCCGCTTTCCCTGGTGTTAAGAAATAAGGCGATACTTAATGCAGTTTTTCATAAAAGTATTTCATTTAAGAAATATGACGCAGCACACGGAGATAGATGAAAAATTAATAATTCCACAAAGTGATGCGTTTTTAAAAGTACCTAGCCTGAATCATTTGCCTCAACTGTGCCATATTTGATAAGGCTTCGTCCAAGAGAAATACAGCATCATTCATTAATAGATTGATGAAACGCAGGAACAGAGGCGGCTGAACCGCTTCCATGTTGCTTTCCGCTTCTTGAGCTAAAGTACTGATAAGGTACAATTATACGAGATGCTTAATCTGAGAGTTGTTGAGGTTTAGATACAGAACAAAAATAACGCGATTAGATATTATATAATTCCGCTTACGTAAAGTTATTACGATGCTCGGCGAGTTTCCACAAGTAATCCATAACAATGTACATTGGACGACGGTAGTTGAATTTTTGTTCAAATTGTACACTCTGCCCAGTCATCTCGATGCTTACAAACACATGCAGCAAGTTGACAATGATCTGTTCGTAAATGAAACAGCACGTCAGGAATAATGATTAGTTAACGCAGTGAATCTTTTGACAATGGATCCGAGTCCGCGGAATCTTACTCACCTGCTGCCTGTGCGGATGTGTGAGGAATAGCTGTTCCCTGTGGAATGTTCCTAGGTTTGGCGTTGTCGCAGCTACGTTCTCGTCGGCAATCGGCAAAAGCGCCTCCAGGCTCTCGGCTAAGCGCGCGCGCAGATGCGGATTGTACAGGCGATGCTGAGACTCCATCAAAACTATAATCTGAAGGAAACCACGTATGACTTTCAACGATCGCGACAAGTACATTTTCGTTCTACCTCGACTTACCTCCGTCAGGATCGGATTCAGAAAACTCGGACCCTGCTCCTCGAATGTGTTTGGACTCAGGCGACGTAAGAAACACAAGAATCCAATGGTATTCTCCACCACGAACTCAGGAATGCATCTGTGGATATACGTTCGTTGTTTTACATCAATTCCAGTTACCGATTGCGATTCCGGCGTACCTTAGTGTAATTGGAACAGTTTCTGATAACGGGAATGTAACAGGCATATATTGTTGCGGCGCAAAATTCTCCTTGTCCTCTTCTTCAGTTACAACGTGCAAATTGACTTGTATCAACCAGAATGCCGTTATTGCGTGAAATTTCGCCAAGTGTTTCAACATCTCCGGCACCAACAGACTCGCTTTGAGAGACAGATACCTAGAAAAAAAATTTACGTTCGTATATGGAGGAAAGACCTCTATTATGAGCCTAGTAGGAGCCTAGTATGAGACAGTAGGTTTTCAATGTCCAATTCAGCCGCAATCTTTTTACGGAACGATTACACGATCTAACTGTTCAGTGGAAAATCAATTTTCCACCAAACAGATTACACTCCAGGGACAACAAATTCATGGTGAAGCCAACAGATGATGACTATTAATTTAGCAGAAACTCCGCGCTGTCTCGTATTAGGAGCCTATCTCTCATAATAGGGGACTTTCCTCTACCTTGAGGTACAATTTGAAACGAGATAATCGTAATCGCGATAAGAATATAAAGAGAATTGAAAAGTTGACATGCAAATGTGTTTTATATACTTGATCATCTCGCCCTCCATTCGTTGCGTTATGAGCTCTAGCAGCTCTGAACTGCCACCAGTTCGTGCATCGTTGTAAGCTCTCTGTATCCTGGCCAAATCTTGATTTGTTCTGCGGAATGGAAAGTGACGGTGTTTAAGCTGCGAGAGCAGTTGTATGAAAATCACACGATCGATCGTTGTTGGCTTACTTTAGAAACTTGTCCAGGATAACTCTGTAACCGAGATCTAATGCACGATGCGTAAGGAAGAAGCATTCCGTTACAAATCCGAATGACTCTGACGTTGGCCGACTCTCGCCTTCTGGGGTTGGTATCAGACACGTCTCCGAGCTCAATCCTTTCATATGTATACCACGTTGTAGGCTCTCAGCTTCGTCCTTTGCCTAAAAATGCCAACAGAGGGGTGAAATAATTTGTTAGAATACTAAATTGTTAAATAAACTGAAATTTGTTTATAACTTGTTTATAAAATGTGAAAAATCGCGGCAAGATATCAATACAGTTCTGTGGAAGTGTATCTTTGTCTTGCAACATTGGAGTGCACGCACTTTTAAGTATTGATCAGAGATGTGTTACTTACCGAATCAAAGAAAGTTGCGCAAACAGTGAAATACATAACAATAAATTGTCAAGAGAAATGCTCGTTAGATAGTAGATAAATAAGTTTCAATGAGTACTTATCTTGACAATTCGTTATATTCATATGTATGTTTCACTGTCCTCGAAACTTTCTTTGATTCGGCAGGTAACACATTTCTCATCTCAATACTTAAAAGTGCGTGCACTTCAATGCAAAGGTACACTTCCATAGAACTGTATTAACATCTTACCCGGTGATTTTTACAATTTTAATGAAAAGAAAAAAACTAACTCGGGGATCTTGATTCCCGAGGCATTCGTTTGGCTCAGACGGCACTTAAAGAGGATGGTTGCTGAAATGAAGATGATAAGAATAAATTCAAATTTATATAAAATATTCGTCTATAGGAATCTGTCCTCCATGCAAAAGTATAAGACGATTGTCTGCATGGTTGTCGAATAATTAATTATTAAAATTATACTATTGCACATTGCCAACATAGCAAAATATTACGATATCTGTAATTTAATTCTCGAAAGCATATTAAAAATGATAAGAATTTTATAAAAATAAGTGCAAATAATTCTATACATATTTACGAAGAATTTTGATATAATGTATATATATCTACATATATATACATATATGTTCTTGATAACTACGTAGACAAGTCATTTCAGTATTCGTCAAAATTCTTCGTAAATATGTATAGAATTATTTGCACTTATTTTTATAAAATTCTTATCATTTTTTACATATATGTATATTATATATATTTTTATATATTGTATATGTATATGTACGAAGGTGAGTCGAAAGTTATCCGCACTTTTCGTTCTACAATTTATTTACACAAAAATAGGGGTTTAATATGTACGTCATTTTTCAACATAGTCTCCTCCCTTGGCAATGCACTTGGTCCAGCGGTCCACAAGCGTATTGCTTCCTAAGAAGAAGGTGTATTTCTTCCAAGAAGAAAACCACTCTTGCACCGCTTCCTGCAAGCCCAGATCTTGCTCCCTTCGACTTTCATCTGTTTCGGCCGCTCAAGGATGCTTTGCGAGGTCGTCAAATTTCTACAGACGTAGACGTGCAGGGAGCGGTGCTAAAGTGGCTTTGCGACCAACCGAAAACCTTCTCGGAAGGTATACGCAAGCTTGTGCACCGCTGGACCAAGTACATTGCCAAGGGAGGAGACTATGTTGAAAAATGACGTACATATTAAACCCCTATTTTTGTGTAAATAAATTGTAGAACGAAAAGTGCGGATAACTTTTGACTCACCCTCGTATATACATTATCATTTATATATATATATATATATTTTCTATAAATTTGAATTCATTTTTATTTGAGCAACCAACCTCCTTAAAGCTAGCGTCTTAAATTCTTGGGAAAACCCACCTCGGCGCTGCAGTACGTGGGATCAATCCTCGGTACTTTGGCGTCATTCAACTTAGCGCAAAACGGCTGACAGAGGCGCAACAATACATTGCCTATGTTCAACATAAAGCCATCCGACACGCACAGCACTCCCAGTAATCCCATCTCCATGTGAGAGTTCCAAAGCTTTCCTCTATTTGCATTCGCATGAAGGCAGTTGCCCAACCATTGCAGGGTTAAATGGCGAAGCTCCGTGGAACATTTCAGCAAGGAATGGAAAACCTTGTGCAGAGCGTCGCTCAGACTATCCATGGCTGTCCAGATGGTGCCTTCCATGATCGTATTCGGCTGTGATATTTCGACAATGTATAAATCGGCAAACCACACAGAGCTTGAGAAACTACTCGACTAATAGGAAAAATCGCCGTACTTGCCGTAGAGGCTTGTCGAAGAGATCGTACGGGTCCTTGGCAGTTTTCGGTAAACAGCTTATGCTGAACAGCACACCCAGTAGCGTGTCCGAGTACGCGCAACCCTGACTTTTCTTTGGCGTGCTATGGCAAATAATTAATTTTGCCAGCGGCTCGATGGTGGAAAATGTGTTGAGTAGAGCGAACCACTGTTGGCGGAAGGTGAAGAGATTGCTCTCCGCTGCCTCCTTCTGGACAATGTCAAGGAGCGGAGAGAACGACCTGGCAATTATATCCTCTACATCACTCTCTCGATTCGCCGCTATTAATTCCTCTACTATGCCACTGACGAACAACGATAATTCCAACTTTGACGTAACATCATCCGTAAATAAAGCAACAAACTGGCTGTGAACCTAGGAATAATATGTAAATGATTAACAAGATTCAACTATTGACGTACATTCTGCCTTGGACATATTATAAATGGAAATTCTTAGCAGCCGTTCCGTCGCAAAGTCAACTGGCAGTGTTCATAGTCGGATCGGACAATTACCTCCTGGTACTGAAACAAATCCGGTTCCTGCAAGGCCGTGTTGGCGTTTCGCAGTACGATTTGACATGCGTCTCTCACGGTGTCCTCAAGGCCGTCGTTTGCTCGGTAGCGCTTTAAACGGCAGTAGCACTCGTAGAGGTAGGTTATGACCTGCGTCTGAACAACGTGGCCGTCGATGTCCCGTGCCTCGGCCCTGGGGTCCGGCAGCATCAGGCGCTCGAAGACGGCGTGCTCCATCGAGTCGGCGTCGACGAACACCAAGGAGGCCGGCGCGCGGCTGTCGCCGTCTCGACGCAGCGTCAAGCCAAATACATGCGCCATCAGTCGGTCGACCTTGTCGCCGAGGTCCGCCGGCGGCTCCATCGCGCGAGGCTCGCGCTCGTCCTCGGTCGCGCGGCCTGCGTCCTCGGCCTCGCCGCCGACGGCGTGACGCTGCGAGGAGAATGAGACAGCATCATTGTCCGTGGAGAACAGCCCGGCGAACGGGTTGCCACTTATGTTGTCGCACATGCTTGTGCGGTCTCCTTTCACAGCGAGATCCACGCGACAGACATGACTAGTTCCTAGTCCATTGTATCATTCGGCCTCGATACGCCAAGACACGTCAGGACTTTCAGATAGCCTCCCCGACGACCCCGACGACCCCGACAGCCCCGACTTCCCCCGAGGAACCCGAGTACAAGAAATATTCGAGGAATGCGGAACGCGAGCGCGACACTCGACAGTTGTGTGACGGCGCGCCGTAAATTGAGCGGCGAATCGCTCAACTTGTAGAACCGCCAGAGCGAGTGTCGTCGGTAATGAGGCACTGCTGTGTTATCGACAGGACTCTCGCCGGAAAACGTACGTGTCTCTTTTGGGGACTCCATGAAGAATAGAGATAAGGAGACCGAACTGACACGGAAAAATGTTCGAGAAACACGGCCAAATTGGTCGCTGGACTCTAATTTACTAATGCTCCGCTAGATGGCGCCTCCGTTTGACGGGACCTAGTGTGTGGAAGCAGACGACACCGGTGACAGCGCACAAATACATGCACGATTTTAACTCTCCCCACCACGCTCCACCCTGCAATCTCTCCTCCTCCTCAACTCTAAGCCAATAGCCATCGGGTACCTTCAGATTGCAGTGCCATCTATTGGTACCTAAAGATACAACCATCGGGGATCGGTTTTGGCCGCGTGTCCCGAACATACAGTTCGGTCTCCTTATCTCTATTCTTCATGGGGGACTCTCCCACGGTCGTATATACAGGTCTTGCAACTCAGAAGATTTTCAGTGGTGGGGGTAGCTCTCTTAAGCCCAATGTCCACGATGCTAGAACTTGGACCAAGTTCTAGCATCGTGGACATTGGCCTTTAGTCCCAGTCTACAATAGAGATTTAAGCCCTAAGCCTTAAGAAATTGACTAATCACAGTCGCGCATTCTACTCATACTTGACCGTGATTGGCCAATTTCTTAAAGCTTAGAGCTTAACCGTGCTTTCCAGCAAGCGACACAAGTCGACACAAATGTCGTTCTGTCTTTCTTCGCATTCAATGAATAATAAAGACAGAACGACACTTGTGTCGACTTGTGTCGCTTGCTGGAAAGCACGGTAAATCATCTATTGTAGACTGGGACTTCTTGGATGTGTTCGAAAATAGATTTAGTTACTGCCAGTGAAAACAGTATAGTTGGTAGCAATGAAAATTACTGGTGCTGCGTTTTTCTTGCGCCAGTAAAGTCAATAAGGCTGGGTCTACATTGGATGTCGTAAGTCGAATAATGAACTGTGATTGGTCAATTTCTTCCGTCACGACTTACGATATCCAATGTAGACCCAGCCTTACTGACTTTACTGGCGCAAGAAAAACGCAGCACCAGTAATTTTCATTGCTACCAACTATACTGTTTTCACTGGCAGTAACTAAATCCATTTTCGAACACATCCATTGAAGCAATTTTTAATTTCTAATATCGTCACCACGTGTCGCTACCCATCTAGTAGGGCTAAAGTCACTAGATATATAAAGTACCGCAATCGTCCACCATTTTGGCTCCATGACGCGGCTATTTCAAATCCATCCCAGACAGCACATGATATCCTATGGACGTCGTCATTTTCAATATCTCTCGAGACATTGTACGTCTCCAGAGATATTTGTACGTTCCAACTGTTTAATTTCTTTGCAGTATTGTATAAGATGATCTGCATCAACAGTAGAATAATTGCTATTTTTAGTGGTTTGAAATTGTGATAAAGAAATAAGGCATAATGCCTGCTTAAAATCTTATGGCACGCCGTTTTGCTATTTAATACTATCATAAAAATTCTACTACATTAAATTGATACTAAAAGAAAAAAAATTATAATTATGACTAGACATATTTATAATTCATCGAATTATTATTAAGCTATTATATGATTAAAAATGCAGAAATAAAATCATGTCTAGACAAAATATTAATTCTGAATTTATTTTATGTTATAACAAAAAATTTTCAGGAATTAAAATTATGTACATAATTTTAATTTTCGAATTTTTATTATGTGCATAATTTTAATTCCTTAATTTTTATTATGTACGTAATTTTAATTCGTGAACTCTCGTAGGAATTATAATTCCTCGTATTCGATGTCTACATGTCCCAGGTCGCCGATGACGAGGTTTAAACAGCGCACTCCGTAGTTTCAGGTGTCTAGATGTATTAATACTTTGAATTTGATATCTGCGTACGTATCCCAGATCACCGATGATGGGACCCAGGCAGTGTAG